GAATGCTGTCAAAGAGCGCCTGCAGTCACTTTTTCTTCCTCTCCACTAGATACATGTTACCCAAAGTCTAACAGTTGTAATATAAAGTAAAGTTCTCAAATACGCCAACGAAGGGGCAGAATCTAAACAGGTAAAATGATTGTAGTTGTATCACTTGTTTTACATTGCATTTACAGTGACAGTTTATAAATCAGCACTTTAGATTCTGGCTTATATGTCAACGCACCTGGTATAGTCTAGTTGTTTCCAGAGCATGAAAAAAATTATTTTTCTTATGTTTTCTTATCTTTCTCCCTAGTGATAGTTTAAGAATTAATGTTGCAAGTACAGGCTATGTAGTATAAGAAACATGTTTACTTCTACCATCTATAAATTTGACATATACAAGAATGGCTTCTGTGTTCATAATAATGTAATTATGTAAAACTTTTCCATACCAAATGAGGAAAGAGTTACCACACATCCCAAGGGAGGACATTGGTATAAGTCCTCAATCTTACTTAGACTAGATAGGCATATAATATGATTGGTGGCCACTGGACACCTCAGCAAATCTAACTTAATTGATTCTGCAATTTACAGGCTTATGCAACTGAATATATATAAGAATTCCTGAATTCTCTCAACCTTTTAAGTATTTCAAGGCTCATCAATGGGGGGGGCTGTAACTCTTTTCTTCTCTATTCTTCTGTACTACACTACATTACAGAATTGTGTGATTGGATACATATAATAGCCACATATATATCTGTATACAATTCCTCTGTTATTTTAAAATGTCTATATAATATTGCTGAATGTGTATTCAAGTGGAAAAATTCTCTGTGTCCTCATTTATGAGTGGAGACCACACAATCTGCTTCAGCCAGGGTGGTAGGGTAGAATGTAAACAGTGTTTACCTAGTCATATGATAAATGCTGATCAGTAATGTCAAATGTCAATCATAACATGGATTAGATTTTTTTTTATAGGGGGACAGGCAGAAAAATAAAATGGAGGTCAATAGTAGTCAGTTGTGTGGTTAGTTACTTTTTCATTTCCACCTAAAAATACAAGTGCCTATTTAAGATAACCAGTGAGTCAACATCTTCAAATGCTTAAGAAAGCTCTTAAGGAGATTTACTTATATTCAGGGTTCCTGAGAGTTTGGAGAACTTGGGTCACTATTTGTTTTACTCCTTCATCACATAAATTATTATTTCCTCTTCCTAGACACAAACTTAATCTATTTATTTTTGAGAACTACACTCTTTGTAGAGTTTCCAAAGATAGCTTAATGCCAATGTGTACATGTGCTTAACAATACAAAAACAAGTAGTTTCTCTGTATCACTTCACACAAGGGTAGAAATAGCAGCAAGAACAATCAGTACCAAGGTTAGCACAGGCCAAACAAAAACACAAAAATCCATCCAAAACAATGATTTCTCAACTTAAAATCAGCCAAACTTAACTTAAAGCCAAAACAACTTAAAGCCAAAACAAATCCAACACAACAACCATATATTTGTCAAGGACTGCTCTAGTATGCTGCTGAGTTCATATACATCCATAATTAATATAAAGAATGCAACAAGCAAATTAGCAGTCTTAATGAGAGATGGATAAAATAACCAGGCCTCACAGTAGCCCAACCCACAGTACAATTAAAAAAAAAAAACCTTGTAACTCCTGTAAATCTTTCATGGGGAAAAATGAAGGAGGGATCCTTGGTGCTCTCTGACCGTGTTTTTTTTCTTTTTCTTGCAGACATTTTATTACCCAAACTAGATAACATCATCAGTATTAGTGTTAAAAGGAAGGAGCCAACCCCAAGCAAAACCTGGAGTCCAGAACCCTGGAATGGGCAGCAAAAATATTCTGATTAGAAAAATGCAAAACAACAAAACCAGAAGGGAAAATATAGGCTGGAACCTAGTGAGGGGGAGATGAGATGGCGATATAAGCATCAGTAGTTGCATCATTAGCATCAACTAGGTCTTTGGTATGAATAGGGAGCCAGTGCTGTGACACACAATCCCATGCATTTCCTCCTTTTATTAAAAATGAAAATTTTAGGAAGAAACACCTGCCTGTAGGATCTGAGCAATCCTGAGAAATTCACAACAGTGGGAATCTTAAAAGATGGTGGAAACCTTGATGAGAGATTTTTTTTAAGCAGAAGATACCATGGATGGTCTCTCAAAGAAGTCCCTTTCGTTCGGCAAGGATGAAAATTTAGCACTCTTTGAGGTCTCTTCTAACTCTCTGCTTTTCGTATCCAGGCCAGCTAATGTGTAAAGTGCAGATAACTACACAGAAATGCCAAGGATTACTGAAGACAGCCTATTGTGAAGAGTTCATTTCATGCCCAGCAGGGCAATTAAGTTGAAACAGCATGACGGATTCACAACCACATGCCTCAATATATGTACATATTTCTTTATATGTTGAAAGATGTGTAAAATAAACTGTCACTCTTATACTGGAGGAGTAAACATCCTGCTTATTTGTAAGGTGTTTTAAAATAATTAATTTCCCTGTCCGCTCGATCAAGAGATTTTCAAACAGTGAATAATACTGTATTGAGTGCAGTAACTGAGCAAATAATCCAATTTTGCCTCTGATTGGGGGGGGGATTTCAGACACAATATATCAACATTCTGAGAATGCACTTGTTCAGAGAAGTGCTTTGGGAACTAAAGATTCACATTTCTATCCATGATAAGCAAGTCCTGCTGAGTTCAATAAGAGTTAGCTACATACACATATCCTAGTTATCTGCAATCTGGAAACACCAACATTCATAGGATTATAATGCCCACAACTCCCAGATAACACAGCCAAATTTAAGATCTTTCCATTCCTGGAAAGGTTCGGGGGCTCACAACTTCTACTCCCCCCCCATGCTAATATGGGATGATAATATGAGCAATTGTCTAGTCTTCATTTTCATCTCACCCAAAGCAGAGGTTGATATATTCTCTCTCTCACCCCCCCCCCTTCCTCCCTCTCCCTGCCCCTCCCCTTCCTCCCTCCCCCTCTTTTTATTTCACTCATTGTCTCTTCCCTCCCCATTGCCATTTTAGGTGTCAGGGGCCTTACTCCTTCAGAAAGAACATGCTGATGGAGGATGAACCTAAAGAAAGAAGAGTCATATCTGGATCTAAACATGGGTGAAGATACCTTATTTTTCAGTCTTTCTCTCAATACTCTTTAAATCAGTTTCTGACTCCCTCTTTCTTCTCCCTCACTGTTTTTGCAAAACAAGCTAATGGGGAGTGAAGACTGATAACATTAGGCCAAAAGCTTCATGAAACTCTCAGGCAACAGGATGCCAACATTAATAAAAAAAGAATAAGCCCTTTAACCATGGGAAGGGATGGGGGAATTTTTCATACTCATAACATTGGCATACAGAAATACAATTTAGTTTCCATCACTTCTATTCCCAAAATAGAGAATGATGTACAGCTTAATGATTATCCAGCTATGAACATGGAGCAGAAGGAAGTTATCTCCCAGAGTATGTGATCTTCCTTTGACACAATCTGTTTTTGTAGCAATGAGTCATACTGGACTAGCCCAGTTAAAACCAAATTAATTATTCACCCTTAAAGGAATACAGAATTTCCCTTCTAGCCAATATAACTCTTCCCCTTCAAAGGATTTGAGCTCCAAGGAAAAACTCAGATGAAATGAAATAAACCAAAGCTGCAAACACATGCAATTCACCAGCTCCTAGTAGAAACAGTGGACTTCACACAATTCTCACCAGTCTCTAATGTCAGCTATGCAGTAGATATATATGTGGCTATGAAACTAATAAGGATGGAAGAAGGTTGTTCTGTCCTAGCCTACGACCGAGGAAAAACCCTTTTGCATTGAACAAGGCAGGACTTGGTAAGATAAACCCCTTTTATTTTGACACAGCTTTTATGAACAAAACGCCAACCAGTCCTTTAGCTGTTGAAATGAACAAGATTCAGTCTCTGAGTTCTCAGCTGGAATGCTCAAGATTTAAGCCACTCAGACACACCGAAATCCAACAAACCTGGTTAAATGTCCAAGAATCCTTGAGCAAGAAATCCAGTGACAGAAGCACAAAGCTGTAACATGAACAGTTGCTTTCAGCAACCAGCCCCTCCCATGCCTCTCCTCTTTATAGCCCACCAGGGCATGACTTTTTAGAGTCTTTTTCCTTTCCTGGAGAGCCACGCCACCACCCTCCATTGTCCTGCATGCCTTTCCTCCCTTTGCACCATGCATCTGGAACAGGCCCCAGCTGTTCCTCCTCTTCGCTCAGTTCAGGCCCCCAACCTAGCTGTCTCTCTGCCTAAGTGTGAGTAGATGGGCCCGGTGTCACCTCTAGCTCTGAGTCTTCCTGCTGCTCAGAGCCTTCCACAGACTCCGATGTGAACCCAGGCAACCCTTTCCCCTCATCCGATTCTTCTGACTCGGCTGCCGGATCTGCTAGAGGCGAGGACTCACAACAATGGTAAGGAAAGGAGGAAGATGGGTTTGAAAGATTTGAGAGGGAAGTAATTAGCCAAAGGATGCAATTAAACTGGAGGTACAATTACGCAAATGAAAGGAACTATTTTAAGAGGGTTTTGTGAGTTTCCTGACTCCAAATAACAGGAATGTACTACCAAATTTTGGTAATCGTTGCATGATCCAATCTGGTTCGGTCACCAGGACCAGGGGCTTAGTCTTACAAGCTTTCAGACCCATTCTGGAGCCCATCCTCATGGACCTACTCACTCACCCCACATTTGGGTGGGAGAGAAGTTCCCTAAGGAGAGGTTCCAGCACAACTCCAAAAGCTCATAAGACTAAACCTCTGGTCCTGGTGATCAAACCAGATTGGATTCTGCAACATTATCCTGGGACATGTATATTTGCTTTCTTTGGTAGCTATGCCTAAGATTGGAGTTTGCAAAGAGGAATCCAAGCTCACACATGGCCAGAGATTGTTCAGACCTCATTTAATAGAAGGGTTTCCCAGGTAAGTGACTTACCTTGGATACAAAGGCCTTCCGTGCAGTTCTCTGATTCTTGGTTTGGACCTTCACAGAATTTCCCACCATTCCGTGGAGGTGGAGAAGTGCATTCCCGGATCCTCAAGTGCTCACACTCAGGGCTGCAGACTGACCATTCACTCCACACCTCCCAGGCACCGTCCACTAATAAGGAGAAAATGAATAAATGGTAGATTTCAGTCCACAACATTTGATAGACTATAAAGATTCTCAGTCATCCAGGTCATGGTTGTTCCAAAGGTGCTTTTTCAAAAGACAACTGGACTGTCTTTGTTTTTCCTTGAAGACATCTTGCTTCTAATCCAAGAAGCTTCTTCCGTTCTGACTGAAATCCTTCCATTCTCCGCCATTCAGTCAGAACTGAAGAAGATTTTTGGATGAGAAGCGAAACGTCTTCAAGGAAAATTTTTGAAAGAGCACCTTTGGGAGAAGACATTTGATTCAGTGATAGTTTGAATCATTCAAAAAAAAGAAAAAAAAAAGAAATGAAATAGTGACATTATTTGATCACTCTGCCTCTTAAAAAACAATGCACATATTTTATTATGTAACCGAATTTCCTTTCCTGCTCCTTCTAATCAGCAACATTCATATCTCTAACTTCAGCTTCTAACTGTCTATGTTCCCATGTTCCTCTCAGCCTTAAAACAGATATTGATTCCCAATGTTGCATTATAACTAAAGCCAAATATCTGTGGTCAAGTGGAAAACTTCATTCTTTCCCTATTAACCTTCACTTCCTCCTTCTATGATCCTTCCCATGTCTCTTATGTGCAGCATTTTTTAAAAAAATATAAGCTCCATGGAGCAGGAACTCACACTGTTAATAGTGTGCAAAAAAGACTTAGACATCAGACTTCATCTAATGGCATTAGGTACAGGAAAACTGGGAATCATTTGATTTTGAGGATGATGATGATGAGGAGCAGGAGGATAGCTTTGATGGTGGTGGTGGTGATGATTGTGGTGATTTGCCAAAGAAGATGAGAGAAGGGAAGATCCTAAGTGTTGTTGCTCCACATCCGTGTTCAAATTGGGGATGAACCACTTTTTTTTATAGGCCAGTGCTGAAATAGTAATGCAATGCAGCTTTTCATTCTTTGCGGAATTGGAGCTGGAAGAGAATTTCAGTTTGATATGTCAAATCTTGAAACTTAATATAATAGTTTTCTGTTCCCTCCAAAAATTGAGGCTTGCAGCAAGCAGATTTAATGCCCACACTTGGCCTGAAGTCTGCTCATTCCTAATTTAAATCACTGTTGGGCACCCCAAGAGACAAGAATGAGCTAGAAACCGCATCTCTACTTTATTACAAGAAGGGATAACTATAAAAGATAATTCAGTTATTGAATGAATGCAAGTGGAAGATCAGGATTTCTATCCAGCCTGATCTCAATTTTTTCATGTTCTCTTGCAGCGATGCTGTCTTAGAAGAGGAGAGCTGGATTTGAACCTCCGTGTTCCCACATTTTATGGATATCCGGATTTTCATTTTTGGCATTCTTGCTCACCCATTCAGATAAGTCCTTCATGTTAAACTGGAGTCTTCTAAATATCAAATAAACCCTAACCATTTTGCACGGTAATCTGAGTTGTGCTGTAAATTCACACCTTTATATCTGATATGAACTCTTCAAAATAACTGGACCGTGATTCCACTCAACTCTAGATGCTGAGTATGCTCTCTGAACTCGAGAAGAAAAAAGGTAAAGGTTGACCCTATCCAGTCATGTCCGACACTTGGGTGTGGTGTTCATCTCCGCTTCCTAATTGAGGGGAGCCAGTTTTGTCCGAAGACACTTCCATAGTCATGTAGCCGCTATGACTATATGCCGAGGTGCACAGAACACTGTTATCTTCCCACTAAAGTGATACCTATTTCTCTACTTGCATTTGCAGGTTTTCAACTGCCAGGTTGACAGGAGCTCACCCTGTCACGTGGTACTTGGGTCTCAAACTGCCAATCTTCTGATTGACAAGCCCAGTGTTGTTCTAAGTCAGGGGTGTCAAACTCAATTTAATTGAGGGCTGCATCAGCATTGTGGTTGCCCTCGGGGGTAGGGGGGGTGCGGCCTACTGGGTGGGCATGGATAGAGTGGATATGGCCTACTGGGTGGGCATGTCCAGCTCTACATCATTCACGTCAAGGGTGCCTGTGGGGGTCTGGGCAGGAGTGGGACTAATCTGAGGGTCTCTGGCAGAAGGGGGTGGGACCGGGGCAAGCGCCAAGGTATGGTCCATTTCTTCATTCCTCACAAAGGGTGACACCTCCCCAGCATGCACCCAGGGGGTGGGGCAGACACGGCAGGGGCTGGTTCCTTGCTGTTTCTAGACAGCCTTGTGGAGTTAAGACTGAATGCGTTTCAGCATAGATGGCCACCACAAAATTGTACATTGGCTCCTGGCTTGCCTGGGCAGCGGGGGCCATTCCCTCACTGTTTCCAGGATGGCTTCATGGGCCACATGAAACCACTTTGCAGGCCGCATCTGGCCCCCGGGCCTTCTGTTTGACATGTCTGTTCTAAGTAGATAATGGGAACTTGGAACCTGTAAAATGTTGGAACCTATGGAAGAGAATATTTATAGCTCAGGATTAAACTGCGCAGTCAGTTCTAGTATTGATGATGTTACCTAGTCTGATAATGAAACATCTGCAAGAAAATCACCAAGCTCAGAAAGCATGAAAGGTTCCACCTGTTAGAATTTATCCTTAGTTTACAGAAGAAAAGCAGACAAATCATTCATGGAACACATGAACCAAACCTGTATTTAAAATTTAACTTTGAAATTAACCTGTCCAGACAAAGCTAGAACTCTTTCCTTGGACACACAGTTTGCAGGGATGTATGTCTCCCTCTGTTTGTGCAACTATAGTTTCATTGAAAGCTAGATCCTGCCAAAAAGAGTGAATATCCAATCTTTCTTAAAATAAATAGCTTGAAATGAAAATGTCTGAATGTGAAACTAAAGCTCAAAATGGCCCTAGAAGATTACAAGTGCCAAATTTTTATCATTTTACCAAAGGGAAAATGAAATAGCTTCTCTACAGTTGTCACTCTTCCTGCTATTTCTGACTTTCACAGATTCATTTGGGTTGCTTCATTTTGGTAAGAGAGGGAGAAAAAGATTGCCTGAAGAAAAATGAAAATAAATAAAAAAATAAAAAGATAAAAAGATCTCAGGGATAAAACGCTGATCCACGTACTGCCTCAGCTGGAAACTTTGCAAAAACTTGGCTCAAAAGTCAGCAACTTTTGCATAGTGCCACACTTATGAGATACGCACAAAGTACTATTTTCAACAACAACAACAAAAAAATACAGACAGCGTTAACCTAGAAATTAGCTCTCACGAATTTCCATCCTTGCATTTGGTATTGCACTGAGAGGTGAATAGAATAGTCATAATAGCAACATACTGGTAGTCCTCAACTTACTGATATAATTGAGCCCAAACTTTCTGTTGCTAAGTGACACAGTTGTTAAGCAATTTTGCCCCATTTTTCAACCTTTCTCGCCACAGTTGTTAAGTGAGTCACTGCAAGGTTTTAAGTTAGTAACATGGTTGTTAAGTGAATCTGGCTTCCTTCCCCACTGACTTTGCTTGCCAGAAAAAGGGGATCACATGACCCTGGGACACTGCCATCATCATAAATATGAATCAGTTGCCAAGCATCCAAAATTTGATCACATGAATATGGGTCGTAAGTGTGAAAAACGGTCATAAGTCTCTTTTTTCAGGGCTGTTGTAACTTTGCACGCTGAGTAAATGATCTGTTGAAAGGTTAAGGACCACCTCTGTCAGCCAACTGATTTGTATTTCAGTTAGAGAGAAAATATCGGAAGGAGGAATGTCTGTGTTTGCACATATTTTTTTTCTTTTCATTGTCATAAAAATCATATCACAACTTTGTTTTCTATTACGTAATTTTCAATAGTCCCTCAGACTTGAGGTTTGGCTGAAGGAGTTAAAACATCTTCCCCAATTGAGATCTGAACCTTTGGAAGAAATAGTGTGCCAATATTTTCCTTTTCTTCCTCCTCATTTTAATAGGAAATATACTTCTTTCCATTTCTGTTTTTCACGCAGAAGGAAGCTATTGGTGGAGTTCTCATAACCGGCTCATCAGATTTTAACACAAGCCTTAATTACGAGATGGGACATGAGAAGTATCCTGTCCTTTTATCATGTCTTTCAGAGGTCTACTCCAGAGGTACACATATACCAGTGGTGGCGAACCTATGCCACGCATGCCAGAGGCAGCACTTTGAGCTGTCTCTGTGGGCACACGCGCCGTTGCCCCAGCCTTGCCTCCCCCCACGACCCCCTCCTCACCGGTAGCCCCCCTGGAGGAGAGTCGCCCCTGAGCGTGGCCCACACGGAGCAGCGCAGCCAAGGACATGGCAGCCAGGCAGCATAGACAAGACTCTGCCCTCATGCCCCATCATGCACAGTTGATGCTGCAGGGCACGGGCAGAGGGCATGGACTCCATGGTGCTGCTGGGCTGCCTGGGTGATCTGCAACGGGCTCTGAAGGCGGTGAGTGGCCCTGCAGGCAGGCAGGGTGGGGGATGGGGTGGAGGCAGAGCAGGGGCGGGGCAAAGGGTGGAGTGGGGGCGGGGCCAGTTTTGGGGCACTCGGTCTCTAAAAGGTTCGCTATCACTGACATATACCCTTTCAATTATATTAAATATATTCAAATATATTAACCTTTCAATTAAATTCCAAGGAAGACATCCTTAAGGTTTTTGCCGATCTGACAGTATGGGCACCTAGGTTTAGGATGGAGATGGGGAAAAGTATATTACTTGAATTGTTTGCCATCTTGACCCATTCAAGTAAACAAGAACATATCTGAAGAACTTATGGGGGGGGGGGAAACCCCGTGAAAATAAGATAGGAATCTAGAAGAAAGGACAGGTTCAGCAGGCTGGGAAACAGATTTTAGCACCGTCTCTTTGGGTGACAAAGGAGGAAGTGGAAATAAACCCAAAAGTTGGTGATTATGCTTATTTATGAGATCCAACAAGGGCTTGAGGTTTTTTGTCTGAACAGCTGCTTGAAGTGAAAGTAATGTTGCTATGGAGATTCAGATTCCAACAAAATCTGGAGTTTTTGACATGTGCCAGAAATATCAGAGCTAGCCTTGCAACCCTCTTGTTTACGTCTAAGAGAAATTCGGAATCAATATATTTGTGAATTGCCTGGCAAAGAGCACACTTTCCAGCTTGTAGCTTATGCAAGCCTTGTCCAGCTCTGCATGAAGTACCTGTGTTCAAACCATGCCTAGTTAAGGGAGGAAGTTCAGAAAACAGGAGGAGAAAATGCTTGCAGTATGTAGTACAGTTCCAGTAAATTCCAATTTAGACTGGTAGACGTGGTGTTCAAACCCCCATGGTGTTCAAACTGCTTTAGGTAATGAAGCCTATAGGGAATATGCAGAAGACAAAAGGGAAAATACAATACATGCATACACACGAACAACACAACTACTCAGAGTGCATAAGAATCAGTTGTGAATTAATATCTTAATAACCATTTGGCCTAGAATTCAATTTCGCCATTCTGGAGAAACTGAGATGCTAAAAAACAAAAAAGGATGGAGTTGCGTCCATGTGTCCCAATGTCCACCACATCCTGCAATAAAGACAATTGAAGAATCACTCCCCCCCAGAGTTTCTACCCATCCAAATAAGATCAAATAGGATAGGCATGCTGCAGATCCTTCAGCCAAAGAATGCCAGTTCACGAGGACTAGAAGACAGGCTTTTTCTGAAGCAGCCCCTGCTCTGTGGGACATCCTTCAGAGATTAGAATGGCCCCACCCTATTAGTTTTCCATAAAGCTTTAAAGACCTGGCTATGCTACCTCCAGAGCCCAGGGCGCTTCATTCCGCAAGGGTTCCGCCTCCTGGCTATACAGTTAACAGATCAGATGTCTTGCTTTGTATGTGCTTGAACTAGAGGTTTGTATGTTTATTTTATTGTTTTAATGGTTTCTTTTTCCATTTTTATTGTTTTAAAATGTTTTTAAGATTTTAATTGTAATATATCTATGTATTTATAAAATGTATTGGACACCCATCTTAGGATAACTCTGGGTGGCTTACAGTCATATATACATGTATGTTTTTGTATATATGTATGTATATGTGTGTGTATGAATGTATGTGTGTTGTATATCCTCCCTGGCCTCTACTGACAGGAGTGAGAAAGAGCCTGTGGCCTAAAGGTTAATACAGCTGCCTAAAATGCAAGCTGTCCAGGTTCGAATCCCAGAGGGGTAAGACTAGCTGATGAGAACTAAAGAGCTTGAAATAGCTATTCTAGTCTCCCTTTAACTCTTTGTCAACCACAAAATTTTGAATTTACAGTGTTCACAGTAGTGACGTCTGCCTGCAAAAAATGCTCTAGACTGGAGTGAAACACAGAACAGATTGCTTTTTATTTGGTAGACCGGGTGTTCCACCAAACACACACACACACACACACACACACACACACACACACACTTAAAACATAAATAATTATAATCAACATTAAATCCTAAAGACACATGGGGAGGGCAGGGGCAGAGTGAGGGGAGGTACAATGGTGGGATTCAGCCAGTTCGCACCACTTCAGCAGAACTGGTAGCTAATTTTTTGATGCCCAGGCCCAGAATGGACTTCCGGAAGCGGCATCCACACAGAGAACCGGTTGTTCACATATTTGAATCCTACCACTGGGGAGGTGGGTTCAGTTGTTACTCAATCAACCACCTCACTGTGCTGTTCCCCCAACTGGAGCTCCAAGCCAGCTGGCAAAGCCACTTCTTTAGGTCCTTGAGGAAGGATAGGAGGGTTGGGGCCAATCTCACATATGTTTTTGAATTGTGAGTTACTCAGAGTTGTTTGCAGAAATGGGCAGCTATAGAAATCAATCAATCAATCAATCAATCAAATAAAAAAAAATAATATCTTGCTCACTGGGACACAATGATGTGCAGGTAATTTTCTGTACAGACATTCCTTCGCAGAAAGCACCACCATTGAGGGGAGCAGGGTTAGTACATGTCCGGGATCTCTTTTGCCATCCTCTGCCGCACTGGGCATTACAGTTGGACCAAGCTGTCCAAGAAGACCAGCCTCCGTTCACTAGGCAAACACAAATATAGGGGAAAAGAAAGCGAAGAGGTAGATTAGCATATTAGCATTTTACAAGAGGCAGCCCTTGTTACGCAACTTTCCATTTTCAATATTTTCTCCTTAAAAACAAATAAAGATGTGATAGTTATCACAATTTCCTCTTTACATTCTGTTATGCAAGTATTACTGCGATGCACTTACCTAGAGGACATAGTATCAATAAATGCATATGTTTCGGTAAGGAACTAGTGATGACATAGGCTCACTTTGATTCTCTCTAAGCACATCTTTAAAAAATGTTTTTTAATCCCACCTTTATTAATTTTATAAATAAATCAAGATAGTCTTTCTTTTTCCAATTTTCCCCATATGAACAATCCTATGAGGTGAACTGGGCTGAGACAGAGTGACTAGGCCAAAGTCTCCCAGCTGGCTTTCAGGCCTAAGATAGGATTAGAATTAATGGTCTCCTTGTTTTTAGGCTGGTACCTTAACCACTAGACCAAACTGATAAAGGAAAGGAAAGGAAATTTATTTATAAATAAATAAACAAACAAATAAAATGAAATAAGGGAAGGGAAGTGTTGAGACATCCTTCTGTCTTAATCAATGAAATGCCATTTGGTACTTTAATAAGAAGAAAAGATGAAACAAAGAAAGAAAAAAGCAGAAAACGTCCCTGCTGCATTTCAGATTCAGCTGTCTGAAAAATGTCTGTAAGGTCATCTGTTATTCTATGTCTTAAGTTTGATTAACAGGCTCCATTGTTGTACAGACAGGTATCATTAGTATACATTAGACTTTGGATCTCAAGATATTGCTTAGTTGCACTACCCAACATCCTTACCTTGGTTACATCTAGTGGAAGTTGAGCTTCAGCAAGCTATAGACAACTATAGACTGATCCCTCCTACCTAAAAAAAGTGGGGAATATATAGCCCCAGTTTCACATTAATTATCTCCCTCCAAAGAGACACACTTCTATTCATTAATGAGCAATTGGTTTTGTACTTTTTATACCCACCCATTCTCAGCAAAGTGTACCTAGAATTTATGTAGTCACAACTTTTATGCTCTCAACTCTCTTTTGAAATCAAGGATCTTAATCTATGACTGAACAGAGAAGCGTTAATAGGTTATTGATTAAAAACAATAATAAAATTATACTTTGCTCGAATGCACACATAGCTCATGAACAGTTAGAAGTCAGGAAAGGGAGCAATGACATGATCTGTCTCCCTGTCACTATTAGAAGACTAGAAGGTTTATTTCAGTGCTATTTTAATTTTTTTTTCCCTTCTGTCCAATCGTATCCAACTCTTGGAGACTGCCAGGATAAGTTGTTGCAATTTTCTTGGCCAGGTTTTCAAAAGTTCTACTTTGTTCTACTTTTTAGGGATGAAAGACAATGACTATCTCAGTGTCATCCAGCTGGCTTCATACCTAAGGTGGGATTAGAACTCATGACTGATGCCTTAACCCGGTGTTTCTCAACCTTGACAACTTTAACATGCGTGGACTTCAATTCCAGAAAGTTCTCAGCCAGCAGTGATGCTTAAAAGAAATGGATGAATGAATTCATTAACAGTTCTGATCAAACAAGAATGATACCCATAGTCCAAGAAGTTACAAGAAGTCACACCTACTGACCATACACCACAACTGTGGCTGACAGGCTTCTTCTTTTGGCAACAATGTTGGCTGCCATGCAGGTGTAGTTCCCTGAATCAGACAGGCGGGCTTGACGGATAATTAGGTTATGATCTGCTCGGGTGTCAATATTTTCATCCTGTTCAGCATTGACTGGTTCTTCATTCTTAAGCCATTCCACCTTAAAAGAAAGAAAGTGGAGAAAAAAAAAACAATTCAGAAACTATGAATATTGATGTATTACTTTGGTCACTATTTGAAATTATTTACATTAAAATAGACAATATGTCTGCTGCTGTCCCTGGAATCTCTTAGCATTATGCATGTTGACTAAGCATCATGGGAATTGAAAATACTGGAATGGTCATCCTCTAATTAATAGCTGCTTGATAAAGTAGCGAGACAATGACAGGTCTCAAGCTCACTAGATCACCCCAGGTGAGCACCCAGAGACATGAAAGCAATCAGTGTATGGATCTGCAGGCTACAGGCATTCATTAGCAGGCTGTGCTGGGCAGATGGCTGGCAATTTGTAGATTTTCTAGTTTATAAACAAATCGGCAGCCGACCCCTATCACAGCCAATTAGAATCCATGCCAGGCAGCAGACTTGGTTTTTTTTTTTTTTTTCCCCACCACCGTTTATCACGTTGGTTAGCTAGGGACAGAAAAGGCAAAATTAGGTTTCTGCTGAATGTACGATGAGACCAGTGGGAAAAAGTGGAAAAGAAACTCAGAAACACAGGATTTGCAATAACGAGACTGTTTACTGAGTACAAATGCATTTAGAGTAACAAGTTATCTTGATATGTCATTCAAATAAATAAATACATTCCAAAATCTTTGCTTAAAATAAATGAGTGGCCTCTGAAGTTTCTAAGGATCAATATTTCTTGGCAAAGCAATGATTTGGCAAATCATAACTACGTTTTAATCTACAATAGGCTTAATACATCCTTAATTTTTAATAACTCCAATGCCTAAATGGGAAAAGATATTCCGTTTATTCCAGTACCATCATTTATTTTATTAATATTAGACTGCTTGGAAAAATGGGGGGGGAAACAACTTTTGGCTGCAAAAATTAATACCATTAATACCACTTTACAATGCCTTGGTAAGGCCACACTTGGAATACTGCATCCAGTTGTGGTCACCGCGATGTAAAAAAGATGCTGAGACTCTAGAAAGCATACGGAGAAGAGCAACAGAGATGATTAGGGGACTGAAGGTTAAAACATATAAGGAACGATTGCTGGAATTAGGGATGTCTAGTCTAATGAAGAGAAGGACGAGGGGTGACATGATAGCAGTGTTCCACTATCTCAGGGGTTGCCACAAAGAAGAGGGAGTCAAGCTATTTTCCAAAGCGCCTGAAGGCAGGACAAGAAGCAATGGATGGAAACTAACCAAAGAGAGAAGCAACCTAGAACTAAGGAGAAACTTGCTGACAGTTAGAACAATTAACCAATGGAACAACCTGCCTCCAGAAGTTGTGAATGCTCCAACTCTGGAAGTTTTCAAGAAGAGACTGGACAGCCATTTGTCCAAAATGGTGTAGGGTTTCCTGCCTAAGCAGGGGATTGGACTCAATGACCTCCAAGGTCCCTTCCAACAACTACTTCTTCTTCTTCTTCTTCTTCTTCTTCTTCTTCTTCTTCTTCTTCTTCTTCTTCTTCTTCTTCTTCTTCTTCTTCTTCTTATTATTATTATTATTATTATTATTATTATTATTATTATTATTACTATTATTACTATTATTACTATTATTACTATTATTATTATTATTATTATTATATATCACCTATTGCATTTATCGTCCAAGCAATATTTTATTTTCTTACTTCCCATATATATTATTTTTTAACTTCTTTCACATCCCACTTTCTCCTTTTTATTTCCACTATCTCTGGAAAGAATCTAGGGGTAGTTTAAGATAAGCAGACATTGTGAATTTCTTTACTGACAGCAAAAAGACCTATCAGATCTTTTTTTTTTATTTTACCTGCACAGTTTCTAGAGTGTAAGTTAAAAATTACTGAGCATAGAAAGTTCAAACTCATATACCCATGAGAATATTCCTGGATGTTTTAGAGGTTTTTCAGGCAGACTTGCATCTGGAGTATAGTATCTTAGTTTGGAGGTTATGACAAACTACAATTTGGAATATTTCTCCAGGAAAAAAATTTCAGGAAAAATCTTCTGTCCCTAGTATATCAAGGAGATGTATTAGGATGAGTGTGTGTGTGAGAGGGGGGGGGATTGGTAGGGAGGGATATTATATTTAGTGTTGCTAAATATAAAAAAAAGTTGCCCACTTTCAGCTTGGATCTAAAATTTAATATAAAGGCCTAGAAGCTTGACCGTTCTAATTTACAGCTTGTGAATTCGCTAGGGTGCCTTTTAACAAATTTGCAAAATAGCTGTCTCCATGTTAACTTCATTATTCAGAGGAACTACCAAACTATGTGATCTCCTGGGTCACACATGGTCAGTTTCTGAAAAGCAAAGCAAAAATAACAGTGGGGACTTTTTCTAAAAGATCTTGGCTTGTCAAAGTCAATATCTCTTCACCAGAAGCTGGAACAACTTTGTAGGGATGATGTTCCAGGAAGAAATGGTAATTTTCTAGGAATGGAATTCAAAGGACACCCTGAGACACTCTTATTTTCACCTACTAAAGTTTACGGGTCAGTGTGCAAAGCCTTTAAAATTATGCTCATTTATCTTCATAATAATCTGGATAATAAAGATTGTGATGAAAAATGAGCAATTTGTTCAAGTTCATCCAATGATTTCACAAAGCTCATCAATCAAGGCTTGTGGCTTTGGATCTTCTGGTAGAAATCACAATGAGATGCCCTTCTAACCTTAGGACTGCCAACTCTTTCCCAGAACATACCGCTTTATAAGTGAGACCACACCTGGAATACTGGAACCAATTTTGGTCACCATATCACAAACAAGATGTTGAGAGTTTGGGAAAATATTCAGAGAAGAACAACTAAGATGACCAAAGGCCTGGAGACGAAAACATATGAGGAACGGCTGCAGGACTTGGGTTTGGCTAGTCTAAAGAAAAGAAGAAATAGGGGAGACATGATAGCAGTATTCCAGTATCTGAGGGGCTGCCACAAGGCAGAGGGGGCCAGGGTGTTCACCAAACCACCAGAGGGAAGGACGAGAAACAATGGTTGGAAACTGATCAAAGAGAGAAGCAACCTGGAATTAAGGAGAAAATTCCTGACAGTGAGGACAATCAACCAGTGGAACAGCTTGCCCCCAGAAATCATGGGCGCTCCATCACTGGAAGTTTTTAAGAAGAGACTAGACATTCACCTGTCTGAGATGGTATAGGTTCTCCTGCTTGAGCAGGGGGCTGGACTAGAAGACCTCTAAGGCCCCTTCCAGCTCCTATTCTATAAATCTGAAATACTTTGCTGGCCCACATTGATGATCCAAAATCTGATCCTGTAGATCCTTTCTCATCCCACAATTTGAAATTTGAAGGAAGTTGGAAAAACAATGTAAAGAACCTGGTGACAAAGTGATCTGATTTCAGCATTCCAACATTTCTTATGCCAAAATATTAACAGAGGACAACAATAACAAAACTAATCACACCATCACAGATATCAGTCCAATCATCTTTGTGAACATGCACCCAACCCTGATTTACTAATTTCTTTGTCCTCCTTAAAGTGTTTCAAGAATTTCATTTTTTTTTTTCAGAGCTGCCTATGAACGGAGCTGACACACTGATGTCGTTTTCTTGGCAACAATATGGGAATGGTTGACCAGTTTTTTCTTCCAGAACGGTGATAATGTTGGCTTTCTTTAGAATGCATCTTACAGGCCTGGGAATTTATTTATTAATTAAACTGGTGGGCCACCCATTTCATCTAGAAGTGACTCTGGACAGCTTACAAACATTAAAACAAATAAATAACAATAATTTGTCATTATTGCTTTATTTTTTTTTTAATCACAGAAAACGTTTGTGGATTGCTCATAATGTGATGATTATTCAGACATATACACACACCCTGCATCCCATAGTTCTTCCCCAATTCTTCCCAAGAATGATAACCTTTTCATGTTAGGTTCATGAACTGTATTTCATAATGACAGACAATGATGTACTCTAAATTTATTGTTTTCTCTTTTTCCGGAAACCAGCATGGCCAGAATTGAAATGTTCCCATCAAGTCCTGCTAAATTGCAAAATGAGCCATAAAACCATTCAGGGATAGATATGGATTAATTCCACTTGCATGTAAAGCATCACAGCTGATAAATTACCCTAAGCACACATTTGCACCAATTATATGTTGTCAAGAGAGAGAGAGTAGTTTACAGCATTATCCAAATGAAATCAGTTAAGCATCTCACAACCCAGATAGAGGTAAAGATTAACATTTCCCATTGTTAATAGGAGCAAGATTATTTCCTTATTTATTGATTTTTATTTTTTATTTTTGCAAATAACTTGGATGAAGAAGGCACGTCTCGCAGATATCATGGAAAGTAGGACTTAAAGAATCATTTGGGTGGGGAACTCAAAATGTGAATTTTAACCTGCTAAGAAATAACCAGAATTAATGTGGAGATATAAGAATCACAAAAGGAATAGTTTTGCTCTTTTAAGTTCTTCCCCACAGCCGTCTGATTTACCAGCATCTAATTTCAGAGCACAAATTGTAAATACTCAAGGGGCCTGCAAAACTCCATGTAATTAGCACCAGATAGAAGTCCAAAGCAGAAGAAAAGGTAGGGGAGACTTTAGAAGAAAATTACAGTCATGAGCATTTGTAATTTTTATTATTATTTTCTTCCTAGCATTTTTTTCATAAGTGCAGAGTCCACATGTGAGCATCTACTGAATGTTGACTCATTGGTTGAGACGGGAATTGGGTTGTTGCCCAAGCCAGAATGTCATGGCCTAAGAGAGTGACTGGCCCTGGGTCACCCAGGCAGTTTCCATGCCTAAACCAGGATTAAAATTCATAACCTCCTGGCTTCTAGCTTGGTGCCTTAACCCCCTGGTCCAAACTAGGTCTCCTGCAATGATTGAAATGTCAAAATTAACTTGTAAGTTTTATTAAGGTTTTCACGTGAACGTGCTCAGATCTTGCTACTAAGTCCACGTTCATATTTTAGATGCAAATATTGTCTGAAACAA